ACCAGGGATTGAACTCGGGGGTACTCAGCCACTGAGCCACATCCCCAGCCCTATTTTGTATTTTATTTAGAGACAGGGTCTCACTGAGTTGCTTAGGGCCTCTGCTGAGGCTGGCTTTGAACTCACGATACTCCTACCTCAGCCTCCCGAGCTGCTGGGATTACAGATAAACACCACTGCATCCAGCTAAAAATTCTATTTGATTTTTTAAAATATTCACTGTGTATCGGCCCATCCTATGGAATTCTCTTGGCGTTCATGGAAGTTTTTCAACTGATCATCAGGTTTCTTGGTGTAGGTCATGTCATGGACAAGGACCTTCAGGTTAGCTTGTTCCAATCCTCCGAAACCATTGGTGGTGACAGCGGTGCTTTGGTTTTCTCCCCAAACTGTTTTATAAAATAGGCAACAAGTCCACACAACCCACCCTTTGGATGTTGTGTTAGAATGACCAGTTACCAAAGAAGTTTCTAAATGCTTAATTTTCAATTTCTGATCTTTTTCTCTTCACAGATCTGTGAACGGCGGGCAGACACAGAGTGGCGCACRGACCTCACCATGAGCCTCCTGGCTTTAGACACTGATCACGCTGATGTTATTAGATGGCATTAGAGTTCCAAACCCATCGTGCCTTCTGGGGTRTTCAACTGCCAAACTCTGTTTCCTGCTGCAAGACCAATGGCAATGAGGCAAAGTACAGAAACTTCAAAGAGTGACCCCATGCTTGTGTGTGTGAGTTTAACACACTTTGATGTCTACAACCAAAAAAGAGGAGGAAAGAATAATATCCCAGAGGTATTTATACTAATATTCAAAGCATCTGTGGATTTTCAGCAAGCTGGGGGCATGGGGTAGGATAGGGTGGGAGTGGGGCAGAAGGATCTTGTCCCAAAACACATTTTAGAARTTCTTAAGATACTACAATTTGGTGGGGAGGAAAAAAAAAAAAAACCTAAATTTTCTAAAACAGATGCTTTAATTAAGACGTCTCCTCTTAATATCCGCTAGCAATACAAGTAACAAGAATGGCCTAATCATTCCCGCTGCGGCAGGAGCATCGCCTGCAAGCCCAGGATCCCGTAATTACACATTAGGTTGAACGTGTCTTACAAGGTCTTTGCGGTACACTCAGGATGAGGGCTTCTGGGGCTCTGCCAGTTACAGGGCTCTGCTGGCAGGAGGACAAGTCACGTGTAGCTCAGAGGCGGGGAATTTTTCTTGCAGGATCCTAGGACCTATGTCCCAGCAGGGCTTCTCCACAGTCAAGACCACTGTGAACTCTGGGCAGCCCTCTCTCCCAGGGGTCTTCACCTTACAACCAATCATTGGTACCACCAAGGAAGGGGCCTGCTGCCAGAGGGTGTGGCCAGCCTGTCCCAGCCCATACCTGCTGGGCCACACCCTCGGTGTCAGGAGAACTGCTTCCCACACAACTGTCAMCACAACTGTCACCCTTATTCACACCCCTACCGCCAGGACTTTTTTCCTTACCGTTGTTTGCTCCTCCATCCCTCTTTCACCCACCCAATCACAATAGTCTCTTCTTACTCATGAGGGATACATCTCCAGACGCCCAGGGAAGGTCTGAAACTCTAGACAGCACCAACCCCTATGTATACTATGTATACACACACATCTAGGGTCAAGGTGAGTTTATAAATTAGGCACAGTGAGCGATTCACCACAAATAAAAACAAAATAGAACAATTATAACAATACGACACGATTTTTTAAAAAGCTCATGGATTGTTTATTTCTGGAATATTCCATTTAGTGTTTTTGGACTGCAGTTGACCACCAGAAACTAAAACGGCAGAAAGAGAAACTGCAAGAAGGGGGACTACAGTCTTGTGTTTTATCCCCGATGCTCTCGTTATCTGTCATCGTGACCTGTTCAGCCACTTTTAGAAATGAGGTGTGACATAAACAAGCACCAGTTCTACTGGTTAGACCCCTGGTTGACTAAATCCCTGCCCTTAACGACCTCTTTAACCCCAGACAAGTTTAGGAGATAGGGGAAGAGGGCCATCATAGGTGGAAAACAATCCCGGCTTGGATCGTGGGTCTCCCTTCCCGATCCTCCACTTCCTACTCTGTAAAATGGGGCTAAGGTTTGCTGTGAGGAGCCACCTGGATGTCTATCAAGCATCTGGCCTGTTGCAGGTGCTCGACAAGATGCAGTTAGGACCCCAGAGTGCACCCCGCCCGGTGAAGCCTGAGTTAAATCCATCCATTCATCCCCCAAGCATTTACGGAATGTTTCTGGGGGCCAGAGCCTGACTGGATACTGCAAATATGACTGAGGTTGTTGGCCATGGACAAGACAAACAAACAGAAAAACAGGTCATTCGAGATCATGAGAATAGCTGCAAAGATGAAGCAGCTTGGAGAAATATAGGTTTTGTGCTTCTTTCATGTGGGATTAAGAAAGCCCCTCTGAGGTGACTTTGAGCCAAAGGTGGCTCACAAGAAAAGCTAATCCTGAAGCTTCCCATCCACGTGGCTGAAGCATAACAGGGCAGGAAGGACATGAGAGAAACAGGACCAGAGCCACTGGTGTCCCAAGTGACAAGTCCCAATCCCGCTCTGTTGTGACCTCTTGAGGTGACAGTCACCTCCCACAGTAATTTTAAAACATGGCTTCAAACATCTGAGCCCCTCCTCCCATGTTAAGGTGGTGTCTGACCCTTCTTCAAGCAGTTTTCTGATTGCTCCAGCCAAGAAGGTTCAACAAAAGCCATGCTGTGAGGTGAATTTTGAGGATAAACCCTAAAAGGCCTCCATGAAGTTTCTGCCTGGTTCTCTCCAGAGCCTTAAGCCCATCTGCACTGACACTGCCATTCTAGAAAAGCCACACACAGGTATCCGTGGCAATGGAGGCCCTACCTAACTCCCAGGTGACYGCCAGTATCACCAGCTTCACAGGAGCAAGCTATCTTGGACATCTAGCTCTGTCCAGCTTTCAGATATCCACAACCCTCATCAACATGTGATAGCAACTACCCACACCCTCAAGCAAGAATTACCTAAGCCCTAAATGAACTCCTGATTCATAAAATTGTGAGCCAAATAAAATGACAATTGTTTTACCCAAGTACATGGTGTGTGTGGGGGGGTGTCCTACAGTTATATAAATGGGTGCACCTGTCTCTCTGCCTCCCTATCTCAAGACCCTCCCTTATTCACACCCCTACCACCTGGCCTTTCTGTTCCTCAAATATACTAAATGGTCCTTGCCTCAGGGCTTCCAGCACTTGTTTTCTCTCCCTGGAAATCCCCCCACCCTGTGGAATTTCCAATGGAGCCAAGCCTATCTCCTTATCACATAGGTGTCAGGTCAAAGGGACACCCTCAGAGTTCTTCAGCATCACCTGATCTAGATTAGATTCCCAGCCACCATCGTAATCACATGCCATGTTTTCCTTTCAGCGCTCACCACCAGACACCTTATGTTTTGCTTGTGTTCACTAACCATGGCCTCTGCCTGTGTATAAAGTCCGTGAAAGGAGGTCCTTAACTGTTTTGGTCACCTGCCCCTTGCATAATACCTAGTACCTAGTTAGCAAGAGTATGTGTCTATACAATGAAAGCATACCCAAGAAACGCAACAGTCGTTTTATTGGAGAAAACGAAGCAGAGGCACTGTGTCAGAGACAACAGCAAACAGAAAGCACCGAGAGTGGTGTGTTCCAGGTAAGGAACTAGCAGAGTTGAAACGGGATGGGACAGGAGGCTGGGCTGTGGGGCTGCCGGAGGCCACGGGCAGGACGCGGAAGCCCCTTAGATCACAGAAGGGATATACATCATGCTTTCCCCCGATGTGACGAGGCACACACGTGATCGGACTGCGTCGCTGTGGCTAAAACACACAAAACACAGAACCTCCCTCCTGAACCATTTTTAAATGGACAGTCCAGTGGCATTAAGCAAGTTCACATCGTTGGGCCATCACCACCATCCATAGTTCATTTTCTCAAACGGAAACTCTATCTCCATTAAAAACTAACTCCCTCTCCGCCTCCCACCACCATTCTACTTTCTCGGGGACTGTGACTACTCCAGGGACCCGGGACAAGCGGCTGGCACAGGGCGCGTCCTCTGGTGACTTGGCTGATTTCCCTCAAACAACGTCCTCAGGAGTCGTCAAGCGTAGCAAGTGTCCGAACCTACTTCCTCTTTCCAAATAAAACACGCATGACATAAGCCGCATTTTAGCGCTTCCCAAGGAGAAATCACTCCACGGTGCGTGAATTCCACACGTGGACTGGTTAGCTGCCAGGCGCCGCGTGTCCACTAGAGCAACCGAGCCCGAGCAGGACAGCTGGGCGGGGAGCTGCTCTAGGGCGGGGAGCACCTAACCTTCACGACCAACCCTCTGGGCCCCAAAGCTTAGAGCGACCCCGCGCAGAGCAGAGACTGGCACCCGCTAAACGCCAGCGAAGGGAGCGGCAGACCGACGATTCCACTCCTCCCGGCTCCACCCCTCCTTAGCCCCGCCCTCTCCCCGCCCAGTGCGCACGCGCAGAAGGAGCCGCGCTGCGCGGCCACGAAGCACATGCGCAGAAGGTACACCCGCACGGAAGGCTCCGCTCCCCCGGGTGCGAATCCGCCCATCCGGGGTTTCGGCCCTGCCGACAGCTCTGTTTATAAACACACCGCGCGACCGCCGGTGAGGGGTAACCCTAAAGGCGGTAGGGTCGGAGGTCAGAGGTCATTAGGCTCGGAGGCGCCAGCACAGGGGCCGGCCCCGCCACCCTGGCGGGCTGAAGACTGAGCAACGTGGCCGGCCGGCAGCGTTGCTGCGGCCCGGGGCTGCCGGGCGCCACGTGGTGCGCACGTGGTCCGCTGGTGCGGCCGTCCCCTCCCCCAAGGCATCTCCGCAGCGCCCCCTGGTGGCATCGTACTCGCTGCGCCTGCGCAGAACGCGGCGCGAAGCACCTTCCGGGTCCGGCCGACCCAGTGTGCGCCGTTGCGGCCGCGCGGAGGCGGGACCACGGTCACGTGCGCGAAGGGCGCTGCGGCGGGTGTTCTGCCTGCCAGGGTTGCAGAGCCGCAGTGTGCACCTGCAAATGTTCTCTGCGTGTCTTGACTCCAGGTGCTTGCAGGTGACCGGTCCCTGCCCGCGGCCTCGCGTGCTTGTTGCATGTTTAATAAGTGGGGAGCGTGCGGCCGAACAAATGAGCTGCTCAATATTCCAGGATATTAGGTCACCCACTCTTGCAGATCCTCCCCATGCGGTGCTACATGAACCGCACTGGGCGTTTGCTAAGCTCTTAGTCAGTGGTAGTTCCTATTATGGTTACCGATTTTTTTTTTTTTTTAATTTAACGTTATGCCTTGTGGAGGTCTAAAGATTTGGAGGTTTTTAAAGGCTTACAGATTTAAAAACAAGAAAACCAACGTCTCCTTGGTTTTCTGACATTTGTGGTAAAGGCTCAGAATTTCAGTGCCAAGGCTGTTTGCTCTGTAAAATTAGGATCCCTCAGTTTATCCGTTACAGCAATGTCTTTTACATAAAGTAATATGTGTCCTCTTTGAGGCTCCTGGGTCACATCAAAATAAGAGGAAAATCCCAAAATGGTTAAGTTACAGAACGCCAGTAAGTACTTAAAACTAAAGGTTAGGTTGATGGGATGTCTTTAACAGCCCAGTGGTCAAAGTGTGCCTGCGTACCTACATAGATTGATTATAATCTTTATGTTCATGAAGCGCAAGTAGCACATCTACAAATAATGATAAACGATATTCTTTATTATTATTGTTATTTTTTGATGCTGGGGATTGAACCTAGTGCCTTATGCATGCAAGGCAAGCACTCYACCAACTGAGCTATATCCTCAGCCCAATATTCTTTTTTAAAAAATTTTTTTTTAAAGAAAAAATTTTTAATATTTATTTTTTAGTTTTCGGAGGACACAACATCTTTGTTTGTATGTGGTGCTGAGGATCGAACCCTGGCATGCGAGCGGGCTACCGCTTGAGCCACATCCCCAGCCCCCAATATTCTTTATTATTAATTCCATAGAGCCAACTGGTTGTCAGAATGTTTTTGCTTGGTTTGGCTAAACTCTCCCATCCATAGCTGACCTGTGGTTGAAACTGAATCAAATTTGTTAAACTGAGTTGCCTCCCAACCCGATATTTTCCCAGTGGATTTATTATTCAATACAATATGTGATATGGATATTGGTCAATATTCTTACATTAACGAATGTGCTTCCATGATGTGACCAACAACTTGGCTGTATTGAATCATTGATTTCCTATACTGGATGAATAGTTCCTCAATATTTCCTGGTATTCAACAATATCATAGCTATACACATTACACAATTTTAACCTTAACTGTTTTGTTGAGGTACCTTCTTCTACACTAAGTGTTGACAAATATGTCCTACAAATAGATTGTAAATTCAGTCATTTTCCACATGATGATGGTTCAGTCAATGCCAGGCCACACATACAACTTATATCACCTAGTGACATTGTAGCGTCTCAGGTGTCTAAGAATACTCTGATGTCCATGCAACAACAAAATTGCAAATATCGGAAGTGATGAGTTTAGGGGGCCTTGCTTTTCATGGAATTGATTTCACTGTAAATTTAATGGTGGATGTTTAGACCGGCGTGGTGACACGTACCTGTAATTCCAAAGACTCAGGAGGCTGAGGTAGGAGAATTGCAAGTTAGAGACTAGCCTGGGCAACTTATCAGAGACCCTGTCTCAAAAAAAAAAAAAAAAAATCAGTATAAGGATTAAACCCAGGGGCACTCTACCACCGAGCTATATCCCCAGCTGTTTTTATTTCCTTTTTTTATTCTGAGAGGAGGTCTTGCTAAGTTTCCTAGGCAGATCTCAAATTTCGAATCCTCCTGCCCTACAGCCTAAATAGCTGGGATTATAGGCATGGGCCACCATGCCAGCTCAAAATTTAAAGAATAAAATAAATAAAGGCCTGGGGGTTTACCTCAGTGATAGAATGCCCCTGAGTTCAGTCCCAGTACTGTAATAATAATAATAATAATAATAACAACAACAACAACAACAGCTATACCAACAATAATAATGGCTGTGTTTAACAGCTCACAGAATTCCAGCAGATTTATCAGCTGGCTTGCTGAGCCAGTACAGGTCTCACCTCTAAGCAGAAACAGGCTTCTGGGGTGGAGACAATGCTCTGTTCTTAGCCTGGGGTAAACTGAGACATACCCTAAAGTGACCCTGCTGAGTCACATCCTTTACCATCCCTTGACCTGAGTGTGGGCTGGGCCCTTGAGTTCTTGTAACCAGTAGAAAATGAAGAAGGGGAGGGGGTGTCATGGCCTTGATCAGGTTGCTTTGTGAATTCAGGTTGCTGAATGACCAGCATTTTCCTTCCCGTGACTGGTAGAGGCTCTGTTGGTCACTTTCGTAATGATCTGGCCACATTCGTAGTGGCCCTAGCCACTGCCCCATCCTTAAAGTAGCAGAATGTGTCTTCATGCATAGGCGTGGCCTCTCACAGCCCCAGGGGTCAAATTACTTCACCTGTCCTTGTAACCCCGCCCCTCTTGACCTTTTTTAGATGGGATTTTCCAAAGAATGAGGGTCCCCCCAATAAAAGTTCACTTCCGACAGATGGTGCTGGCTCTCTCAACTCGCTCTCCCATTTGGCGGACTTGGGACAGACAGCGGAGGAGCCGTCCTGGAGCTTGATTTAAAGGTAAATTGTGTGTCTGCGTTTTATTTGGCATCCTAGGAAATTCACTGGAGGGATCTTTAGTTCAGCCGCCCACGCTGGTCAGGGGCTGCATTGCTTTATGGGGAAAAGGTGGGTTTTATTCCTGTCCCCTTCATAATCACAGGATGTCAGCGAGACCCTGCCTTGGCCAACTACAAGCAGTCGCTCCTGCTGGCCTTGCAGAAGCAAACAGCATGATGGGGCTGGCCCCTGTGTGACTGGAGACCACAGGCAGTCTCCAGAACCTGAAGGGAGCGTCCAGCCAATGGCAGGAAGAAGCCAGCGCCTTAGTCACAGGACCATAAGGAAACATCTTTCCAAGATGAGAGAGCATGTAGGGCTCATGCCTGGTCTCCTGAGGACCACACAGCYGGACTGACCTCCGCATGGTAGCTATGTGCAACCTGAGCAGGGGATCCCAGCTAAGTCRTGCCAAACACCTACCCCCTGGGAACAGAGAGTAATGTGTGCTAGTTTAAGCTGCTCAATTTGCAGTAACATTTGTTACACAGCAATAGAAAATTAACTCATGATCATTTACCAAATGCATGCTCCTTTCTCTGTGTGGTCTACATTTGTCAATTTTTAAAGGTTGGGGGGAAAAAAACGAACATTAAATAATAACAAGGGTGGAAAAGCCAGGTGGCATGGCGCACACCTGTAATTCCAGTGGCTCAGGAGGCTGAGGCAGGAGGACAGAGAGTTCAAAGTCAGTCTTGGCAACTTAGCAAGACCTAAGCAACTCAGTAAGACTCTGTCTCTGAATAAAATACAAAAAGGGCTGGGGATGTGGCTCAGTGGTTGAGTGCCCCTGAGTTCAATCCCGATACTGGTGGGGGAGGGTGGAAAGTAACTCCCAAGATGACAGCAAGAACGTCCCTTGCATGGCCTGACTCGGGAATCACAGAACCCTGGTAGGTTCTGTGGGCTTCCTCTCCCACCTCCTGGCCTCGAGGCTGACTTGGCTGCTGGGGTTGCCAGGTCCTTGTGCCGGTCTCTACCTCAGCCCTGATGCTTCCATCCCACCCATGTGTCTCCAGGAGCTATGTTTGCTCATCTTTAAGACGGAGATGACAGCAGTACCTGTCTAATGGGACAGCTGTCAGGATTCAGTGAGCCATCCATTTTCAGTAGACCATGATAAGTGGCCAGTGTCTCTTGTGGCCCTCACCTGACAAGGAGCCACAGAGGGGCCAGAGGACTGACTCCAGTCCCAGGGGGGCCCACATGGTTCTAAACTGTGGAAGGGGACCCATCCCCTTCTCAGTGGGGCAGTCGGGCACCTAAGTATGTCATCATCCACCATTCCCTGAGCTGTTAGGAGGGTTAGGTACGAACTTCTCAGGGGTGTACGGAGGAGATTCTTTTAGAAGGTAGGAGGCATCTTAGAAGAGGCAGCGATGGAAGGAGAAGGCCTTTTCTCTCCAGATGCGACTGGAGAGGGTGAGTTGTAGGTGGCCTGGCATGATGCATCCCCAATTACATGAACCTGCATAGTTCAGTATCATTTAGGCCATTTTTCAGTTGATTTTCTGGTACTCGATTACAGGATCCCATTCAACTCTCCCTCTGATGTGACCAGACCCACTTTCTWAGTCCCACATTCAGCCTCAAGGACACATGCAGCCCAGGCCTGCTGACCAGTGTGTCTCTTTCTGATTAACTCCACTGCACCCCAGATTTCCTCTAATGTTCAAAACTTGCCCCCACTTCTCCTTCTCTCTCTCTCTCTCTTTTTTTTTTTTTTTTTTTTGGTACTGGGGGTTGAACTCAGGGCCACTTGATGACTGAGCCACATCCCCAGCCCTATTTTGTTTTTTACTTAGAGACAGGGTCTCATTGAGTTGCTCAGCACCTCACCCTTTGCTGAGGCTGGCCTTGAACTCGTGATTCTCCTAACTCAGCCTCCAGAGGCGCTGGGATTACAGACCTGTGCCACCACACGTGGCTGCCCCCACTTCTGTTGTGATATTAGATGGCCCACCTCGCCTGCCCATGGGTTAGTCAGAGCTGGGACCCTCTTCCCAGGCCCGCCTCTCCTCCCCAGCACAGAGGCCCAGGACTCAGCCATCCTTGAAGCCTCCACTGAGGAGCACCCCCTCCCCCTTCGCCAGGCCCTGCTCATGTGCCCCGCCCRGTCTGCAGGATTGCACAAAAGAAACCAAGATGTCCTGGGCCCCAGCTCCAGCCCCAAGCGCTTTGCCAAGGAGATGGGCTTGGCTTGCCGAGTGTTCAGGAGGACGGATCTTCCCAGGCTGCCCAGGTCGTGAGGTTGTCCTGGCAAAGGCGGAACAGCCAGAGTGAGGACGGGGTGGCAGGGCAGCAGCCCACGGAGGCTTTCTCCGGGCTTTCTGCGAAACAAAGGCCCCACTGGCCCCGGGAGCTCCCGCTGCGGAGCTATTGAAATCTCGAGGTGGCTCTCTATTAATCACTCCCCTTGGTGCCTCAGAGGCCAGAAAAGGAGTCAAACAAAACCTCTTTTCTAAGCAGGAAGAGCTGCGCAAAAGCCCAAGCAGAAAGATTCCCCCAGCCCTGACAAGCTGCCTGGGCCTCCCACACTCACACACAACAGGGAGAGCTGGCCACGCAGAGGGGCCTCCAACGTGACCAGGGCTGCAGCCTGCTCCCAGAGGCAGGGTGCAGGAAGCAGGGTTGGGGGGCCAGGGGTCTTGCCTTCCAGCAGCTGCTGCCATGTTTTAGTTCAGAAACCAAAAAGACCCAGTTGAATTTTTTTTTTTTTTTTTTGTTAGACATATGCTGGGAACATGGGAAAGAAGAGAAAGCTCCATTTCCTTTCCCCCTTAGATGTGACCTCAAGTCACAGCTTCTTGGTCTCTCTCTTCTGATCTTGCTGTTCTTTATTAACCAGTAGCAAATACTGCATTATTCATTAATCTCTAAATATGAAGTTTGGCTTCTGTTTTCAAACCAAAGACCCAGGCCGACATGCCAAGCAATCATTTCCCCAGACAAGTCCTTATCACCCTAGGCCCAAGCCTGTTATCTGTGGGCAGGCGCTTGGTTTGTCCTGTTGTGGAGAAATGGCTGCCTTTTTATCCAGATACCATGGCGGCTATCAAGCACAGACGTGACCGACCCAGATTTGCATGCCTCAGAGTAGAAGCATATTCTTTTTCATATAAATGTTAAAAGAAGGAAGGGGGGCAGAGCTGGCTTAAAGAGTCACCAAGTGACATACATTCACAGATGAGGGCAGAGGTCTGTCCAAAACAAGAGCATACCATCAGCTCAGAAAATTAGCATGGAAAATCAGATGATTGAAGATAGAGCAGTTCGTTGACCCTGCGAGGTAGGGGTGTACTTCAAAGTATGGGTTTGGGTGTGGCTGGGATGCAGCAGTGGTCTTGTGAATCTGAAAGAGAACTGGTCCAGACAACAGGAAGGATAGGCCACAAGGAACAAAAGAGTCTGTCTTGCAAGAAGAGATTGCAAGCCAGTGACGTGTGTGGTGGCATTGTTTTTAATAACAGCATAATGGCCACTGGCACATAATATGCATTTGGGAATTATTGTCATCTATGTGGTAGCTAGTCCTTCTCTTCCTTGTGGTAAAATTGTACATCCTTATCTTTTGCATGGAACTATTAACTTGCATAATTCACAGAAAGAGAGGGGACATGTTCAGTCCCATCCTCATGGATCAGGGGCCTGGCCATGCACCTTGACTAGGTCAGTGGACTGTGAGCACGGGCCCCGATACTGGGCTAGTTCCAAACTGAGACCTAAGAAGTATAGCATGTTCCTCTTACACTTCTGCCATCCATGATAAGAACTTAGGGTGGGCAGCTACTATCCAAGGAGAATTGAGACTCATAGGAGAGACCTGATCCAAATCAGCAACCCAGAGCCAAGTCCAGCAGAACCTGGTAGAGCTATAACCTAGCAGACCCCTGATGAAGAAATACATGTTATAGTATAAAACACTAAGATCTGGGGGGAGTAGGCTATTTGTTTTGTGGCACCCATGCAGCAGAAACTGACATAATATCTATCTACACCTCTCGCCCCACCTTCTCTCCAGCTCGGCAGAGGCTTTACCCAATTTTGCTCATTGTACATCCAGCTTCCTATACTTTTTCTGGCATGTAATAAGGGCTCGATAAAATCTTTTAACTAGATGAACAGATGAGTGATATCACAAGGGTCTGGCTCACATGATTATGGATCTGAGAAGTTCCACTATCTGCTACCTGCAAACTAGAGGCTCAGGGACATCCACAGCGTGGGTCCAGTCTGAGTCCAAAGGTTGAGAATCAGGAGCACAGGATTTTCAAAGGCAAGCAAAGATGTCTGTCTCAGCTCAGAGAGAGCATGTGCCAATGAGATTTTCCTCTGCATCTTTGTCCTATTGGGACTCTTAACAGATTGCATGATGTCTGTCCGCTTTGATGCAGGTTGATATTTACTCAAGCCTACTGATTCAAGCCCTATCTCTTCCTGAGACACCCTCACAGATGCACCCAGAAATGATGTTTTACCAGCCATCTGGGCACTCCTTAGCTCAGGCAAGTTGACATAACTTTAACCATCCCAGGGTATGAATAATCTAGCCTGGCATGTGTCATTATCAAATAGCAGGGGAACATGCCAGTCAAATAATACTTTTGAAGGTGGGTGTGGTGGCAAAATCCTGTAGTCCCAGAGGCTCAGGAGACGGAGGCAGGAGGATTGTGAGTTCAAAGTCAGCCTCAGCAATTTAGTGAGGGTCTAAGCAACTCAGCAAGACTATCTCTCTATATAAAGTATAAAAAAGGGCTGGGGATGTGGCTCAGTGATTAAGTGCCCCTAGGTTCAATCCCCAGTACAAAAAAAAAATTTTTTGAATTCAAAATGGTGTATACCTGGAGTCTCCTCTCCAGGGTGAGACTGAGACAAGAAGATCACATGAACCCAGGCTGAACAATAGAGTGAGATCCCCATATTTAAAAAAAAAAAAAAAAAAAAAACTTCTGCGATTATGAGATGATGCATGAGATTAGTTTTTTTATATATATCTATTTTCCTAATTTTCTACAATGAACATATGTTGCAGTTCTAGCTGAGAGAAATGTAGTTTTTAAAATAAAATTTAACAGAAATGGGAACATCTCTCTAATGTTCTGTTCTTTCCATATGCTACCTTTTTTCCCAATGATTGACTTTTGTGGTCCATTTGAGTTCCTTTTGTTCAATTCTTGACAAGCTAGCTGTTGCTTGGTAACAATCATCTTTAATGAGGCCTTTATCTSATTGGTACACTTCAGTAASACTGCATCACAGAGCAATCTGGTGTGAAATGATTTCAGACCAGGGCAATAACAAAAGTATCTGGCCTTCTGAATTACCACATGAGATGTGGCTATTGCTGCCGACTTCCCAAAACATTACATTTAATAAATGTACTAGAAAGAATAACAGCTTGAAGATTCATGTTTGCCTTTATGCTCAGCTGTGATAATGTCTCCTTCCCTGTCT